AGCATAAGGTTGGCATTTGCTTGGCTTCTTGTGAGGACCTTGTATATCTTCAACCCATGGCAGAAAGCAGAAACATAAGAAAAGGAAAAGGGGGACAAACTCCTGTGACAGCTTGTCCATTTCCATGAGAAAAACATTAATCCATTCATTCCAGCTCCCTCCCCATGAACCAAGCAACACTTAGTACTCCCAACTTCCCAGCACATGAGCTTTGGGGGAATACACTCAGACTATATCATTCAACCCCTCACCACCCAAACTTGTACCCTTCTCACAATGAAAACTGCATTGATTTTATCCCACTACTCCCAGAGTCTTAACTGGTTCCAGCATCAATTTAAAAACCCAAAATATTATCTCAGATTCAAGGCAAACTCCTTCTAACTGTAAACCTGTAAAATCAAAACAAGCTATCAGCTTCTAAGATATGGTGTCAGGACAGGGATAAGATAGACATTGCCATTCTAAAAGGGTGAAAGAGACCATAATGAAGGAGTAACAAGTCCCAAGCAAGACTAAAAATCCAACCAGATAGATGTTAAATCTTAGTCCTCCAGAATAATCTTTCACTGTGTACACAGCCCCCTGGACACGCTGTGTTAGAGTTCAGCACACATGGCAGCTCTCCCAGAGGAGTTGTACACTGGTGTCCGGGTTGCACACTGCCAGTGGCTTATCTGTTCTGAAAATTCAGCAGCAGTTCTGCTGCTGCAGCTCTACCAGATGATGACCTGGTAGGGACTCCGCTAGCTCCTTCCCTATGGGAGATTCTGTGTGGCTCTCAGGCAGTTCAGTACATCCTTGGAATTCTCGGTGGAGGCCTCCACGTCTTTATCGCTCTTGCATTCTGCACACCTACAGCATTAGCACTGTGTGGCCGTGGGCACCATTAGGGCTTATTGGCTGTGTCCTTGAGAGCAGCGCGTCTGGGCTCACTTGAATCACAGCACGGTGCTGCCAAGGTGTACTGTTTCAGACCTGTAACCTTGGCCATTCCTGGGCTACTTAAACTACAGCTACTGCGTAGTGCTGCACTGGTTGCAGGGATTAGAGTCCCAGGGTGGCCCTGAGCAGCAAGCCCATGAAGCATCGCAGGTCAGTCTCCCCAAACCACTCTGTCCTCCCAAGCCTCTCGGCCTGTGACAGGAAAGGCAGCCTCAAAGGTTTCTGAAACACGTGTGGTGTCTTCTCCCCACTGTTTAAATGAATATTATCTGGCTCCCTTGTGTCTGTTTTGATCTCTATAACGAACAGGAACTTGGCCTTGCACTTATCATCCTCTGTTGGACATGCATTTTTGCTTATTACATGGCCAGGTTGTTAATTTTTTGAATTTTAAGGATGTTCTTCCCTATTAATTACAAATTCCACCATTAGCCATCCCTTTGCTGCTGTATCTCTGTAAGCAGTTAAAAGTAACCTTGTGGCTTAAGTGTTTTGCTCCTTAGATATTTCTTCCACCAGACAAAATAATCATCACTCTGCAGTCCACAGCCACCTTGTAACTGTGTAGCAAGGCTGGCCTTAACTCTAGTTCCCAGTTATACATTCCTCATCTCCATGGAGACCTCACCAGCATACCCTTTACTGTTCACATCTCTATCTGCATTCTTGTCACAACCGCTTAAGAAATATACCTTCTTGATCTTGTCTTTTTCTGAGTTCTCCCCAGAATTGCCCTTAATGATCTGTTTGGAGAAATACATGCTTTTTTTCAGTATTTACTTCAAAACTGTGCAAGCTATACCATCACCCAGCTGCCAAGCCATATCCCCATTTTCAGGTATTGTAGCAATATTCCATCTTAGTTTATTTTCTCTTGCAATAACAGAACACCTGAGATGTGATAATTTATGGAGCAAGGAAGGTTTATTTGGGCTCATGTTCTTGAGACTGGGAAGTTGAACAACATGGTGCTTGTACCTTCTCAGCTTCTGGTGAAGAACTTGTGCTGCTAGAACTCAACTTTTTACCAAAGGCAGAAGCAGAAGCAGCCATATACTAAAAAAGAAAAGGGTCCCAAATTCCTTGGGATTGCTAAGCCATTCCTGTGTGAAAAACAATCTGTTGCTGAGGACTCCATCACCATGGACCAAACACCTTCCCCTAGGCCCTACTTCCTAATGCTGCTGCAAGGGGGAATTAAGTTTCCTACAGGTGAGCTTTTGGGGAACACACTTAAGCCAGTCTCCTTGCAGGAACTGATCCATTTCATCTAGGTCTTCAGATCTGTATGCAAAGAGTTGTGCATATTTTTACTGTCCTTTAATGTTAATGGAACCTGGAATGGTATCTGCTCTTTCATTTCTGAATAATAGTGACTTGTGTCTTCTCTCATTTCTCTCAGTTTAGCTAAAGGCTGAGTGATTTTATTGATCTCTTCAAAGAGCCACCTTTCTGTCAATCTTCTCTATCGATTTCCTGCTTTCAATTTCATTGCTTTTCTGAAGAATGTTTTCTTTTGTTTACTTTGGGTTTAATTTGTTCTTGTTTTTCTAATTTTTAAGGTAAAAGCCTGCGTAATCAATTTTATCACTTTCTTTTTCTATGCATTCTATGCCATAAATTTCCCTGTAGTTACGGCTTTTACTGCTCTCACAATTTTTGACAAGTTGTATTTCATTTTTCATTTAGTACAAATACATTTTAATTTCCCCTGAGGTTTTTCCTTTCTCTCCTTGTGATAATGGATATTGAAACTAGGAGCACTGTGTCCTGAGCGATATTCCCAACTTCTTTATCTTTGAGACTGAGTCTCACTAAATTGTCCAGCCTGGCCTTGAACCTGTGCTCCTCCTCCCTCAGCCTCCCAAGGAGCTGGCCTTACAGACAAGAGCCACCATGCCCAGCTGACATTTCTTTTTGACTTGTGTGCTATTTTGATTTTATTTTTCTTAACCATTAAAAATATAAAAACCAGTTTAGCTTGAGAGCCATATAAAAACAAGTTGCAGGCTAGATTTGACCCATGAGCCATAGCTCACCAGATCTGAGTTTATGTCTGCCTTCTGTTCTTTCCCTTCCCCACCTCCCCCACCTCTTCTGAATGGTGGCGGTTTTATCCTATAACAGACATAAAGCCCTGAATAGATATGAGTGTGTTTCACAGCTATTTTCTCTCCATTGCTCTCTTTGTTTTTCATTCATTAGTACCATGCTATTACCATATCAATTATACTAGGATGGCCTAATATAGTGTAGAATAAATGTCCTTTTCCTTCCCTTTCAAACTTGACTTAGCTATTAATAAACCTTTTATGCTTATGAATTTTAGAATTTTTTAAAATTTCTAACAACACAGTTGGATGTTTACTGTTGGCTGAATTTATGGACTGCACTGAAGAGAACTGCACCTTTATTGCATTTCTTTATCTATAAATATGTTACCTCTGCAATTATTCAGATCTTCTTTTGTGTCCTGTAATAGAGTTTCTGACATTTTCTCTGGGAAGGTCTTGTGTTTTCTACCACAGGATAATTGCTGAAAAATTTCTAACTTTTGTTTCTATTGTGAATGTTATTTCATTTGTATTGTATTTTCTAGATGATTATTAATAGTAATGATTATTATATCCAATGACCTCACTGAATCCCTTAATAAGTTTTGAGAATTTGCAGATTCAATTAGGCTTGCTATATAAATATGACATTGTCAAATGATGAGCTTTATCTTTTTCTCATCCAACCCACACACTTGCACATTTGCATTATTAATTTATTTTGAAAATGGTGTGTTGGGACAAGATTAAAATGCAATGTGTTAGAAATTTTAAAGGTTTATTAAAATAAAAGAAGAACATGGCATTTGACTTGTTTAAAGAAAATATGGCATCCATAAAACCCAAATCTATTTAAAAATTATTGTAGCAAAAAACACAAATCAGAGTTGATAGTTAGAAATCCACTTACTTGCAGCTTCTGTCTTGATAAAAGACTGCCTTTCTTGACTAGTAGAATGTCATTTTGAATCCTCACCCTTATGAGCAGTTCTTCATTTATAACCCCAACAAAGGGAGCCATCTGTTCCTGGTACAGAGGAAGGGGCCAGGGACCAGATATATTCTCTAAGATCATGCTCCCAGGACTAGAGCGCTTTAGTGATCTTCTAGGTATCTCTCAAGCCAGTCAGGTTGACAATCAAGATTTAACATCAACAGGCACTGTCTTAGTCATCTTCTCATCACTGGGACAAAATACCCAACACCCACAGTTTAAAGGAAGAGAGGTTTACTGTGACTCAGTTTCAGCCCATAGCTGGCTGGCTCCAAGGCTAAAACCACATGGCAGAGTGGCCTGGCGGAGGAAAAGGTGCTCAACCTGTGGAAGCCAGGAAGCAGAGAGAGGGAGGAAGAGGAGGAGCCAGGGAAGGAGACACACTCTTCTGGGTCAGGAACCCATGGCCCGTTCACTTTCCACACACGAGCATTTGGGAGAGATTTTAGATCTAAACTGTACCCATTACTAAAATATTAGGACTTGGAATTATCTGGGGCTCCTGCCACATGAAGAAAGCTTACAGAATCAGGAGATGTGAAGGTGCCAAGTCACTGGCTCTGATTTTACAGAAGAAACATAGAGTTTAGAGCAACGCAAAATCCCAGGCCCAGCGGTGGCTCAGTGGTTTCATGTGCCCCTAAAGTATTACTGTTAACTGGAAAGTCCTGTAAGGAGTAACAAAAAAGGCTGAGCAGACAGTAAGCGTGATTTTAAAACTTACATTGTATTCTAGTTAATTCTAAAAATGAAATAGGTTCTAAATATCTTAAAAACTGATTCCTCTAAATACTCACCTGTAAGTTTTGATTTGTCATTTTTTAAAGGCTACAGGATGATAAAAATACCTTATATCTCTTATAAAATTCACACCTGGATTTCTCACCTGGAATCACTAGTATGGTTGTTACTATGGTTAAGCGATAAGATTTCAATATCTCAAGTCAATCTTCATTGAGTTCTTAAGACAAAATCAGAAATTTAAAAATCCATTTCCTTGAAAAGAATTTGCTTTGAGAAATCTTTTATTGACATCATTAAATTAAGCTCCATTTGAATAAACAATACACAAAACAAATATTCACATTGTGAAACTGCTGCAATTTCCAATCAGTGAATCACTTATCTTTAATTTTAAACATAATTGTCCAAAATAACTCTTGCATGAGTTAAGCAACCTTGTTCCATGAAACCACAGTTCCTGACCACAAATTGCCTTGCTGTGAAACTGAACGCACCCACGAAGGGCAAAGTATAACATAAAGTTGCTGAAATGCTAATAAAATAATCATTACTTAATTGGATATCCATTTGGTATGTGTTTTTTCATTTATGTAGAGATAACCTTTCAACTCCATACTTTAACATGAAGGGGCAGAGAAATTTAGAAACAAATATTAAAATAGTTGATCACCTCCAGAACTAAAAGCGGGATCAAATAGCAGTTGTCCTTCAGAACCAAATAGTACACAGTTAGTTGGAGATGCTTATTTCTTGCGCTGGGCTATAAGAGATCTTTAAATGCAGTTGTAGTGGATATACAGTAACTATTCCCACTCTTTCAGAAATACAACCAGATTGTCCAAAGTCACAATCAGACCAGGGATTGCTTTCACTGAGGACACAGTCCACATAGCCAGAGTAAAGAGGGGCTTAGAGAACACAACCCAAAAAATGACAAATAGACATGAAAGGACAATAATCCAGTATCTTCCCTCAACAAAGTTAGTTACTATTTTAAACCCAGTGTAAAGCAGAAAGTACGTTAAATATTATTTCAAAACATAAAGACAGTTCTTGGTGAGTTATAGAAAGTGCTAACTAGCTAAAAATAACAGTATTTGAACATACTATAAAATCTCCATAGTTTCCTCAACTCAGCTCCACATGACATATTCCTCGAGAGCGTAGGTCAGCCTGATGACTTCTTTTTACAACAGCAGAATAAAGACGCTGGAGGGTCATCATCGAATCTGTATTTTCCAGAGTTGGGTAGGTCCTTGCACTCTGATATAAACACATGAAGTTCGGTCTCTGGAAAGCCATTCTGCTGGTAGTGCTGTAGAGAAGAATGAAGAAGCTGTCATTAACGAACCCCTTGAAAACAGCTTTATTCCAAATTCAGAATGGATCATTTGGCAAAGGAGGGGATTATTTTTTTTCCAGAGGCACAGTGTAGGGTTCCCAAGTATTTTCAGGAAGCGCAGCCTCTGGGTCACTCTTAGTTTTGGCTGAGGTGAAGCAGAACTGGTGCTGTGCGACTCCCTGCTTCATCTCTTTTCCAGGTCTACTTCAGCCCATGGCAGGGCACACGGAGCTTGGGTCTCTTTGGGGAGAATCGAGCCAACCATATCCTGAGTCTGAGAGCCTCTATCACCACTCTGTCCTGTTGTGCTGTGACTTCCAGGCCAGTGTAGACTAAGCTCTTTGGATGGAACCCAACTCTTTGCCATTAATGAGACGTTTGCGGGGGTGGGGGCTGAGAGTGAACATTCTTAATTTCCCCCCCCTCAATGACCTCAGCATAGTTGTGGACACTTCTGAGATGGCCCAGGTGTCTGAATAGAGATCTGAATGCCACAGGCACATTTCCAGCCTGCACACCCTTTTGCAGTCACTCCTCCAGGCAGACAGTATGGTTAAGGGCTTCCTGTGCATATCAGTTTGGGATCTGAGATCCCTAGGACATGCCCTGACTAGAAAAGATCATAACTCACTTATCTTGCCTATTTGGCAAGTGCTCTGAGCCCAAAGAAAGAGATTAACATCTATAACAGGAAGCTCGGTCTTTTGTCTCCAAGAGGTACTCTGAGAGATCGTGGATGTCACCTTCGCATGGCACCTGGTTCTCTGCATGCGGAGGTGAAGGTCATGAACTTTGAGAGCACCAAGTGGAGCGACTGGGACAGTTACATTGACATTCTTTCCCAGTCCCCCGGGGACCAATGTATATATCTGCCAAGCAAGTACTACAGAGAGTAAGGAAGATGGTCCATCCCGAAAACATGGTTCAGTAAGAGTGCAGTTGTGGCCCAGGCTTCATGAGCAAGAAATCCACCATTATCAACTCCACCCCATGGCCTTCTCATCAGGCCTAGGACCAATCACATGGCAAAATGTGTCATTATTCTCCTCACTCCCAGAGGGAAAAGTCCCCACACGGAAGTGTCTATGCCAGTAGTACACTTAAAAGTATACACTTAGCGGGATTTAAATATAGAGATATTCATTCTACCTCTCCATGTTTTCAGGGGCTCAGACGAATAGCTTTTAAAATCAGATTTCTTACTGTAAAACAAATGTGACCATTACCTGACACATCAACCCTCTGTTATTTGGAGGCCAGGCCCTAAGGTCAAGCCTTGCAGAGAGTAATGTGCTCGGTGATGGCATATTCCAAACAAAGGGGTCAATTTTCTTTATAAAAATTGTATTCTTAAAGCTCTCCTCAAAGTTTTGGCTTTCCACAATGGCATCTATTTTATTCACCCCAAATCTACTTAGCCTCATACTTTTAATGAAATGTTAGAAAGCTTACTTGGAAAAGCACCATTGCTTACAAGACTGAACATCCAGAAATTGCATTTCTCCTTCATTTCTGTTTCCCAGTCTCTAAAACTGAGGTCCTTCTCTATCCTGAACAGATCAACATCCACCAATTCCTTGCCTTTAGTTACTAAATTTCACGGTTACAATACAAACTCTAGAGGAATGCTGCTACTTATGATAAACCTACCTTAATTGTTTCATATGTATCAGTGATCAATGCAATGAAAAGGCTTAAAATCATATATATAAAGAGGCTGATGAAAGAGTAGAGGTAAATTCTGCTGAACAGCCAGACCAAGTAACTTTTTTGCTGCATTTTTGCAAATGTGGCAAACATATCATCTCCATTTATCAAAGAAAAGAGGCACTCAGAGACCCTGTTCAGAGAACGGAACTGGAAAAGGAAAACAGAAAAGTTCGTTTTCTTCCACATTCTTTCCCCCTTAGAAACCCTTGTTCGTGACATATTAACAATAATGAGGCCACATACCCCAAGTTATCCCTTTCAAACAAATAACCTGAAGCATTTCCAGGCAAAATTTTAAAATATCCAACACCTTTCTCCCTACACTACTTTTTAAAACTACAGTCACATTTTGAGAAGGCTTACCCATCTCCCCCATTCTAACCCCCCATTCTAATACATTATAAAGCAATCAAAGTAATTAAGCTTGACTTCGGTGGTGGTAGCAAGAACTTAATTATCTAACATTTTCCAAACACGATTGGAAGCAACCCAGCAAATCAACGATTCTCTTAAGTTGATCACACTTTACTAGTTTATAAATATGGCAATAGATAGACATTTGACATTTTCAGGGTGAGTCACGAAATAAAAGGAGTCCATTAAAAAAATAAAGAAGCTATTAGCTCTATTCTAAAGCTTGGTGATAATGGGAAAAAAGCAGTTCATCAGTACCTTATCATGATAAGGCCCCAGCACAATCCACCCACAGAAGCAATAGCCTAAATAAATCATAGCAGCACAGCAGCAGAATCTGATGACATTGGGCAGTGCTGCCTGAAGGGTCAGAATGAGGAGCTGGAAAGTAAGAGAGGTCATTAAAATCCCTCTGTCCTTCATCCAAGGCAGTGCAGTCACTGAATATCAATAGCACAGAAACCCACGCAATTCCTTACATTGTACTTCTCAAAGAAACCCAGGTATCGGATGACTCCAAGCCACACAAGCATGGTCGACGTCCCAAGGAGTATACTGCAGACATCGTAACTTGTGAGACTCTAAAATGGAGTGGAAAACATAAATTAAACAGCAGAAAATCATTTGGGCAAGCAATTCTTATTGGGTAGCCATAAGTCAGGCACTATTTTAGGTGGTAAGGATCAGTCAGTGAACAAACAAAATTTTCTGTCCTCACACAGCCTGCATTCTACTGAGGGTGCATAGAAAAAGAAAAATAAATTTATAGAGCCTTTGGTAGACTAGCTGATGGCAAGAGCTGAGGACAAAGGAAGGGGAGGGAATAAAGAATGGGTGCGAGGGGGCTGGGGATTTAGCTCACCGGCAAAGCGCATGCCTGGCAAGTGCAAGGTCGTGAGTTCGGTTCCTGGTACCAGAGAAAAACCCCCCAAAAAAAGAATGGGTGCGAGTTTATGCTTTGAGACAGGGGAATTAGAGAAGAGCACGATGAAAAGTGCCACATGAGCAGAGATCTGGAAGGAATGAAGGAGCAAGTCAAGCAGAAATCTAGAGGACTAGTTTGCAGGCACAGAGACGAGCTGGGGCAGAGGCTCTGGGGCACAAAGCAGCCTGGCAAGAAGTGAGTCTGGCTGGACTCAGTAATAGAAAGATATGGAGACATAAAGGTTAGGGGCAGGTAGTACAGGACTTCACAGGTACTGAGCAATTTTGTCTTTTCCCCAGAACAGGTTTGGAAGATTAAAAACTCCTCAATAGAGCTAGGAATGGCAGTAATCCCAGGGCACTGGGAGGTTGAGGCAGGAGGATTTCAAATTCAAGCCCAATCTGGGCAACCTAGCAATTTAGCGAGACCTTGTCTCAAAATAAAAAGGGCCAGGGATTGTAGCTCAGGGCAAAGGCCCAGGGTTCAATCCTTGGTACAAAGAGGAACAACGAGGAAGAGGAGGAGGAGGAGAAGGAGGAGGAGGAGCAAGATGAGAAGGAGGAGGACAGGAAGATACAGTTCCTGACTGGGAACAGGAGTGACCTGCCCAAATGCTGGCCACTGTGGTTGGGAGCAGATCACGGCAGGAGTGAAGGAGTTGCTGTCGTTATGTAGGTGAGAGCTGCTGAGGGTCGAGATGAACTGGGCACAGTGGAAGTAATGAGATGGTTTTTAAAGGCAGAGCAATAGGATTTCCTCTTTGATTAGATGTGGGAGATAGGGGTGGTGAAAAAGAGGAGACGGATAAATCTACAGCTTTTGGCTTGAGCAACTGAAGAAAGTTGTCATCAGTTGAAACTGGAAAGGCTATGGAAGAAGAAGGTTTGAACTGTGGAGCTGGGGGTTTTAGTTTTGGGTTTGTTTTTTTTTAATTATCTGGAATTTGAGAGGACAAGCAGACATCCAAGTGCAGATGTGGTGTAGACATTTGAATATCTGGTCTGCAGTTCAGGGAAGAATTCTAAGCTGGAGATATAGATCTGGGAATCACTGACAAATAGATACCTCTTAGAGTATCTATTTGAGACAGGATGACATTACCATGGCCTCGGCAGAAGAGAAGTTGTCTAAGCACTACGTCCTGAAGCATTACCACCTCACCAGCTGGCAAGGAAAGAGGGAACCAGGAAGGCACAATCTGAAAACCAGACAGTGATTTGGGAGGAAAACCAGGTAAGTAACAGCCAGTAAAAAAGCAGATCAAAAACACAGCCTGCTTGGCAGCATTAAAGCTACTGATGGGCCACGATGAGGATAAATGATGGATGACTGGGCTTAGCATGACAGCACAGCAGCCTGACTGGAACCGGTATGAAGAACAGCGGGAGGAGCAGAATCACAACTGTAAGATCACTTTTCTGAGACCTTTTGCTGTATAAAAGGGAGCAGAGAATGGGGGAATAGCTAGAGAGAGAAATAAGGGCTGAGATTTCATCTCTGAGAGGAGAAAAATGTGGTAACAGGGGAAGTAGCTGGTAAGCAGAGGGAAACAACTCGAGAGAGAAGGCGGAGAAGCTAGAGCAACGTCCTTGAGTAAGCAGTGGGGGCGGCGCCTGGAACATGAGTACAGGGACAGGTGTAGGACAGTGGTCTAAAGTATTCACAGTAACAAGATGAAATAGTTTGTGGACATTGATGCTTGTAAGTAGATAAGTGAAGCAGGAATTAGTGGAGGTTTCTTCCTGTTGTCCTTGTAAAATAGGAAGTAAAATCCTCCACTGGCTGAGCGTGAGGGTGAGGAGGGGTGTCAGACGTTTTAGAAGAGATGGAATGATCATCTATGTGACAGGAAGGGTGAGTGATCGGGACAGAAGAATGAAGAAAGATTGCTGGACCTCACAAAGGGCTAATTGAGGAGAATGATAGTGGAGGCTGGTAGAAATAAAGATTTGCTGCAAGTCACCCTAACTCCTTTTCGTCATCCCTAAAGCTGAATGACACATTGTGCCGCATATGGTGGCAGCTACTCCAAGTCCATCTAAACCCACCCTCTCCTTCCCAGGCGCATTCCTGGGCTGTATTTCCCCACTCCCCGTGCAATTTGGTTTGGTCAGTGGGATGGGAACAGAAATGAGACCTGCCACTGTTGAGGCAAGGCCAAGAGATGGGAGAGCTTCCACTAGATGGTGTTTTCATTTTCTACAGGCCACAGGCTGCAACCTGTTGTGAGATGACCGAGGGTCAGTCACACAGTTGGGGTGAGCTCTTCAGGGATGGTAAAGAAACAAAATAGGAGGAGCTTGGGTCCCTTAATGACTGCATGGAGCTGAGCAAGTTGCTGACCTGGACTCTCTGCCTGTGTCCACCACCTGCTCCACGGGTGATACAAACACAATTAGTTGTGTGAAGACTGGGAAAATAAAAGATTGAATAAGACTAGTTTGAACAGTATTAGTTTTTCAATTTGATTTTTGTGTTGGAGGAAAGGTTGATTTCTAGGAGAGATTCATCTTAAAAAAGGATAACCTTGGATCCTAAAAGAGGATAACCTTGCATCCTATCCATGGGAAAGTAAGAAAATGGGAATGTTTTCATTTTGAATGGATGGAACAAACAAATAAGAGCACTCACAAAATACTACCACGACCCCACTTTCCCTTCCAGCCCTCTTTTTTTGTTGAAGACTTTGACGTGTCTTCCAAGGTTTGTTTTAACTCTTACCTTAATTATCTTGGTGTGTGTATGAACTTTTGTGTGTGTGAGAATTCAGGCCCCACATAAAGACTTTGGATTCAATAGTTTTAACACAGCACATTTTTGCCAGGCCCCCAAATGATTGTGGTGCGGTGGTTCGTGGAGTGTATTTGGAAAACCTCTGCCTAAGAGACCACTTGACTAGAGTAAAGAAAATGACTGTTTTGAATGTCATTCACTCACCATAAGTCTTAGGATAAATCATTTACTCTAAAATTCACATTTTGTATAAAATATCATTCACCTGAATCTAATACTAATAATGGCATGAGGAGGGAAAAAAATTACCTTAGCTTGGATTTCCATTTTCAGAATTGAACCAACGACTGTCAGTATGTCACTAATAACAATCATAATGTACCATCCGTTGACAAATTCCATTTGATCAGAAACAGAAACTTCCTTCTTATAATGGAGGAGGAAAAAATTGACAAATTCCTTTAAGGAAAAGAGGAGAGGCACTGTGAGCTTTTCTGGCGATCAGAGTATCAGTAGTGTTGCTAGCAAGCTGCAGCCCCTACCTGCTGAAGCTGAAGTCCTCTGATCACAGATCTAATACACAGAAGCAACGAAGCTAAGCAGGTCAGAATGACAAAGGCATCAAAGATCATCATGTAATGAGTATTCTTCTGAACTGAAAGCAAAGAAGATCATGTGTATAGAGACATTCAGATTGTGATATTAGTTTCTTTTTAGATAATTCTAGCATTCTTTCCAGAAAGATGACAAAGAGGCCCTGATGAACATCCTTCAGTGAATTTTTGAAGGTTAAAAATTCTTCTTTTAGAGAGCCAATTTTTCCAGCACCATTTATTAAAGAGGTGCCTTTCTTCCAGTAAACATGTTTGGACCCTTTGTCAAAGATAAGGTAGCTGAGTGTGTTTGTAGTTGTTTCTGCATCTTCTAATATGTTCCACTGATTCTCAGGTCAGTTTTTTGCCAGTACCATTCTGATTTTATCATAGTAGCTTTGTAGTATAATTTCAAATCAAGGATGGTGATGCCTCCTGCCTTGCCTTTGTTGCTCCAGAATTGCTTTTGCTATTCTAGGTTTCTTCTGGTTCCAAATGAATTTTAGGAATGTTTTCTCTAGATTTGTAAGGTTAATGGTGTTTTGATAGGGATTGTATTGAATCTATATAATAATTTTGGGAGTATGGCCATTTTCACTATGTTGATTCTTCCTATCCAAGAGCAAGGGATATCCTTCCATTTTCTGTTATCCTCTTCAATCTCCTTTTTCAGAGTACTGTAATTTTCAGTGTATAGATCTTTTACTTCCTTTGCCAGAATGACTCCTAAGTATTTCATTTGTTGGATGCTATTGTGAAGGGTGTAGTTTCCTTAATTTCTCTATCAGTGAGTTTGTTGTTTGTGTGCAGGAATGCTACTGATTTTTGAGTGTTGACTTTGTATCCAGCTACATTACTGAATTTGGTTATTAAATCTAGAATCTTTTGGTGGAGTTTTTGGGGTCTTCTCTGTAGAGTATCATGTCACCTGCAAATAATGATAATTTAACATCTTTCTTTCCTATTCTTATTCCTTTTCTTTTTCTCTCTTGTCTAATTTCTCTGGCTAATGTTTCCAGAACTATATTGAATAGAAGTGGTGATTAGACCCATGTCTATCAGCATGAACTAAAGTCAAAATGGATCAAAGATCTAAATATTTGAAAAGACACACTAAATCTACTGGAAGACAAAGTAGATAGAGGTAGAACTCTTGAGGACACTGGGGTAGGCAAAGACTTTTTGAATAAAACCCAGACTGCAAGGAAAATATTACAACAAAGAATCAACAAATGGGGTCTCACCTTATTAAAAAGTGTTTGCACAACAAAAGAAATCACCAACAGAGTAAGAAGACAACCCAAAGAATGGGAAAAAATATAGCAGATGTTCCTCAGACAAAGGATTTATATTTAGAACATATAAAGAATTAAAAACAGACACCCCAAATTCAAAGACCCAATCCAAAAATGTGTATCTGAGATGAATACACACTTCTCACATAAAGAAATACAAATGAAAAATAAATACATGAAAATGTTCAACATCATTGGTCAATCGAGAGATGAAAATTAAAACAACACTGAGATTCCATCTCACCCCAGAAAGAATGGCTATCATCAAAAAAATCAACCAATAACAAATGCTGGTGGAGCTGTGGGGAAAAAAGAACCCTTCTTCACTGCTGGTGGGAATATAGACTAGTACAACCACTGTGGCAATCAGTGTGGAGTTCTTTTAAAAACTAGGATTAGGGGTCCCATTCGACCCAGCTATTCTCCAGCTGCATATCTTCCCAGAAGAACTAAAAGCATCACATCACAGTGATATACGTGCACCCATGTTTATAGCAGCACAATTTGTCATAGCTAAATCTTGGAAACATCCCAAATGCCCATCAATCAAGGAATGGATAAAAAAGATGTGGTCTTTTTATACAATGGAGTGCTACTCAGCCATAAAGAAGGATAAACTTGAGACTTTTATAGCTAAATGGATGCAACTTCAGGCCATATTCACAAGTGAAATAAATCAGACTCACATGTGTAAACATTATATTGTCTTCCTAATGTAAGAAGCTGAAAGAGTAAGTAAGATCCAAAATGTACAACAGATATTGGGAAATGGGAAGAAACTGTTCAAAAGGAAAGAGAAACTGGGATGTGGACAGAAAAGAAGAAAGGGAAAAGGAAAAATAAATAAATGAATATATATATATATATATACACATATATATACAAGCTAGGTAAGATAATCATACTACTAATTTCTATTAGTTCACTGAAAAGAAAGGTTTGTGCTTATATTGTTTGATCAATTTTTCATGCCTATAGTTTGTAATCTGAGCAACTACTTTGAAGATAACAATACACAATGTTACTCTCCTACCGTCTTGTTTTGAAATTTTGCATTATTGTTTTTATTGTTTTTCTCTTTAAAATGAAAAAAACTTCTTTTAGAAAACTGCCTGAACCTTAACACCAAAGATCATTTATTGTCAGCTTGTGATCGCTTGTTCCAAACACAGCCTTCCCACACAGCTTATTAACATATACTTAGCAGGACATAAAGTACTCCCTAAGCAGCCGCTCTCTCAAGCACTTTTCTGGAAGCTAGCATACAGCGGTTAACAAGACAAATGAGGTCCCTGATCCTGTGGAACTTCCCACTGCAATAAGACTTGTTTGCAGAAGCAAACAAGTACATGAGCAAAATATTTTCAGACAGAAGTGATATACACAAAATAAATCATCATAGTTGACATGTATTGAGGACATTTCTTACTGTCATAGTTCCAAGCACTTTATGTGCATAAACTTAGGTGATCCCCTCGCAGTGATCCCAGTGAGATGACATGACATGATTACCCCCACTTTGGGTGAAAAATCTGAAGCACATAATTTGTCAAAACACAATCTGACAAGCTTTTAGAACCCAGAAGCAAACATTTGAGAGAAAGCCCATATGTCAGGCTCTTTCAGACGCCCTTCTTTTCACTTTCAAAAGTTTGTGGAAAATCACTATGATGTTTCAGATGGCAAAACAGAGAACTGTTTCAAATAAATGACTTGTGATGGGAATACAGTTTGTGAATCAAGAGACATACCTTTGAAGTTTCCTGTTAGTGAAAGGAGCACTATAATGATGAAATTTCATGTAATTTATGCTGGTCACCTCAGTATAACTTCTTCACATGGTAAATTGACAAGCAGGATGATTATCCAAGAGGAGTCTGAGGAAGGCCTCTTGGCCCCGTCCATCCTGTGGCCTTTGGATTGGAAACACCTGACCTGCCTGGCCATACTGAGTGAACAGGAATTGTCTTGGGCTACACGTAATACATACAGTATAGTTAATGCATATAAGTACATTTCCTTATTAAAAATACTTTTTTTTTGAACCACAGAGGGCTGTGGGTTGGACATTCCTGCAAGGCTCACAGACCTCATCCTACACCTACTAACTGTGTGGGGAGCTAGGAAAACCGCATCTTATTGGGTACTTGCGGTGATTCCTTTGCCCATTCCAGTGCAAGAGCCCCGACCTACTGATTGAGGCCTGCACAACACGCCATTATGCTGCGTTCCAGGAACTAGAAAGTGAGATAGATACATTCTCTCCAGCCAGTTTTCTCCTGTTCAGCCCCAAAATTCTTGATAGTACTCAGTCTACACCTGAATTCTTATCCATGTATCTCAGAGCAGAGCTTTCATATTTAGTCTACCTTTTAACCTGGATGGAAGACAATTATAAGTGGGAGGCTTCTGGATCAAATCCTACCCAACTCTTCCCTCGCTATGTGATCACGGACACCAGGCATCACATCTGAGCACTGGATTCTTGATCTGTAAAAATAAGGGTTCCTCCTCTCTCAAGGATTTTCTCTCTCAAGGACTTTGTTTTTCCAGGACCAGTGATTGAACCCACAGCCTTAGCAATGAGCTACATCCCCTACCCCTCCCTTTTTAAAATTTGAAACAGGGCCTCTTTGAGTAGCTAAGTTGCATGGGTTTCATTTAAATTTGAGATCCTCCTGCCTCAGCTTCCCAGAGTGCTGAGAGTACAGGTGTGGGCCACCATGCCTGACTCTCCATGATATTTAAAAAATGTTAAAATGAGAAAAATGGAGATGGAAGAACTTATGCAGGATGTTCTGAATAAATATTGGTTTATGCACAGACAGGGTTTTGGTGAGGGAGTGTAAGTACATTCTTGGTGAGGAGTAGGCAAATGAAGGTACACGGAGAACACAGGGAATCCTTTCAATTCTAACAACTTCAGTATTTCCCGGAACATCAGATGTCTGCAATACATTGACATACTTTCAGAGAGCTAGGGACTGGGGAATGTTTTAGCTGGTGTTCTATATGCACTGGAGGCAGTGATTTAGTAGCCACTTTACAATATTTAATAACCACTGTGAAAGTAAAGCTTGTCACTTACTTGATCCAGATACATGCCAGTCCTTACATTCTCTAATGGAAATGTCATTGTCTAAACTGATTTTAATTCTTCCACTGTGAGCCTTGTTGTCAAATGTTATCTGTGAAGACAGGAGAAGGGGAGACACATATGTACAGTAGCTTCTGCTGGTTCGATCCCCAGTACTACAAAGAAAAACAAAACCTAAAAACCCACAGCAGCAAAAGCTGAGCTATATCCCCCAGCCCTTTTTATTGTACTTTTTTATTTTGAGATAGGCTCTCTCTAAGTTACCTAGGTGATCTTCCTGT